TAAATGAATAATTTTTTAAATAAAGAATTTAGTTAGTTTAAATTAAATGTAAATATTATATAAATATAATAAAATTACTTACCATCTAAAATATTTGAATAATTTTTTAAATAAAGAATTTAGTTAGTTTAAATTATATGTAAATAATATATAACGAAAATTATAAAATGCACCAGTGGTGTTGTAAACACCACATCACGTGATCATGTGTTACTGATCAGTTTATTTTTTTTGACGCGATTTATTATTTTTTCTGTTTCTTTTTTTTAGGTTTCTTTAGACACGACCATCTTTAGCTTTGGGATTAGGTTACAGGTAAGTTTTTTTTGCTTCTATTTTCCTTTCTTTCGTTCATTAAACTTGCTTGTTTTTTTTTTTAGGCGTGGCTGTTTTTAGTTTCCATTCCGGCAAATATTTAAGGTGAATCTTACTTTCTTTTCTTTCTCTTTTTTTTTGTTTTTCTTTTCGTTCTTTTCCCTGTTCTTTTATTAACCTTTGTTTCTTTTTTTGACGTGTACCATTTCAGTGAAATCTGAGTAAGTCTCTTTCATCTTTTTCTCTTATTGTTTTATCGCTGTTAAAATGATATTAATTATTTTTTTCTTTTTCTATAGGTGGTGTTCTGGCTTTACTTTTATTTTCCTTTATTTCTCTTACTTTCGTTTTATTTGTTTCTTCATTATTTTTTGTTTTTATCCATCCATTTCTGTTCATTTTGTTTCCTTTCATCTCTTTCTATTTATGTTTCGTTTATTCCCTTTATTTCTTTCATTGTTTTCTATTCCCCCTTCATTTTTTTCATTGTTTTTTTTATTCTCTCTTTGCTCCCCTTTATTCCCCCTTTGTTTCTCTTGTTAAATTTTATTTTCCCTTCGATTCTTTTGTTCCTTTTTACTATTCTTCACTTTTTTTTCATTTCCTTTACGGTTATCTTCGTTTTCCTTCATCCTCTTTCATTCATCTTTCGTTTCCCTATATCATTTTCACTTATTCATTTTTTTCATTGATCTTTAACGTCTCTTTGTTCATTTTTCATGTATCTTCATCATGTTTTGTTTATCTTTCATCATTTTTGTTCATCTTTCATTTCCCTACGTCACTTTTCGTTTACTCAACCCTTTTCATTTATCTTTCCTTTCCTTTATTTCCCTTGGTTTTTTTCATTGTCCTTTTTTACTATATTTTTTTGTCCTTTCTTCATATATTGCAGCGCATTTACATACAGCATTATGGCATTAAAGTTAAAGTTATGCAATTACGACTTATCAGCTATCGGTTATATCATAAAATTTTTTTTATAAATCATGTAATGCATTGTGGTGTAACATTTTTTATTGATCAAATAAAATCGAAAAACTAGCCAATAAAAAATTTTATAATCACGTGATTGTGGTGTTGAGCACCAGTGGTGTGATTTAGTACAGTCGATATATAAATTAAATAAATAACTTACCCTCTATATTATTAAATGAATAATTTTTTAAATAAAGAATTTAGTTAGTTTAAATTATATGTAAATATTATATAAATATAATAAAATTACTTACCATCTAAAATATTTGAATAATTTTTTAAATAAAGAATTTGATTATATGTAAATATTATATAAATATAACAGAATTAATTAAATAACTTACTCCCTATATTATTGAATGAATAATTTTTTAAATAAAGAATTTAGTTAGTTTAAATTATATGTAAATATTATAAATATAATAGAATTAATTAAATAACTTACACCCTGTAGTATTAATTAACAATAATTTTAAAGTGATTATAATCAATTAAATAAAATACTAAAATTGTATATAAAAATTAAATATAATAGTAACTTACATTCTAATTATTTAAATAAATAACAAATAATATTATTAGTTTAAATTACATATGTTGTTAAATTAATATAAAATTAAATACTTACTTTCTATAATATTAGTAATTATTAAACAATTATATCAATGGAAAATTTAATTATTTGAAATATCATATAAAATACAATAAAAAATAAATAGCTATTAACTTACCGACTGTAATAATATTAATAATAAAATAAATTAATATAGAAAAATAAATTTTAGTAATGGTTAATTAAATTTAAATTTGTTTATAATTTACAAACTGTTAATTATTTACTTACTTTTATCTTCGTCAATTTTTGGAACTAGTTTTATTATATTATAAATTTGTTTAGAATAATTTCAATTTGTATTAAATTTTTATATACATGCTATATGCTTTTACCTTTATCGTTATTTTGAGCCATTACTAGACAGTTTTATTGGAATTCTTCCTAAAAAAAAAATAGGATAAATAAATACAATTACGCCTTTGTTCGAGTATAAATAGTTGTTGTGTAATATTATTTATGCAAGATGCAGATACCGATTTTCAGTTTCAGTTCCTGATTTACTATTTAAGGACCGTTGGAGCGTCCGAAATATTCATATTATTTGATCAACATTATGGTATCACTAAATTATAATTCGGAAAGCTGAAACAATAGAGTGTGCAAATTTTGTTATAAAGTAAGAAGATGCGCATATAACGGGAATTTCGACCTTCGAAGACGGCTGCGGGTGGCGCAATAAATAAGACGCTCACATGGAGGCCATCAAAAGGAGATAACGAATAAAATTTCAAGGAGGTTATGTAATTAATCAAAAAAGTAGAACGGGGCGTAACTATACCAGATGATTTGTCATTAAGGCGGCTTAATGGTTACACCAAATTTTGCTCAAAGATTCATATTAAAATAGTATTACGCCAGTATTATACATTTACACTGGTGTAATGCGGAGTTTGCGTAATTTGCCGTAATATTTTGGCATGGCTTTAAGTCTTCAGATTCAAATATTTCAAATAGGAGATTGTACAGTTCGGTGTATTGAATTGGATGATGCTAACAATGACGATGACCATGGATGATGAAGATGGTAGTCAAATATATATGATAAAAAATCTGAAAATTTCCTTCACAATTTGGATGACCTTCACGAATTCATGCACATTTGAGATTGGTTTCACCAAATATTCTGGAGGTACGCAACTCATCATTTTCTGGTGGAGGTCATCGTTTAATTGATGGTCCAATTCTTCCTCAAGATTCAGATGATCCAAATGAACAACATGGATTTTAATATAAACACTTGAAAGGTATTGGAAATTTCATATAATATTTGTTATTGAACAAATTTTCATATTAATTGAAACTGATGAAAAGAAAAGATGTTAGACTGATGTTATACAAATGATGGTGAATACCAAGGAAAAAATTTATAATAACTATGGTATTAAGCATGAGGCTGGGGTTGAAAGCTTAAAGTTCTACTGCATCCGATTTGAGTGCTCACTGAAATCTCTGTTATATAAACTAAACTCGAAAATTGATATAATTAAAGATACCAAGTATAAATTTTTTAATAAAGGAGTTATCAATTTTTTTTCCGAAAATAAAGGATTGATTGATGTAAATTATTTATTTATTTTTTTTTAAAATAGTAACGCGCTTTATTAATTATATAAGATCTTAAAGATCGGATAACTAAATATAAAAGCACCTAGAGCCAAGAAAGATAAACTTTCTCGACCCTATAACTAAGTAATCGATACATTGGTAATTTAAAATCTAACTAAACATTGTATTAATTATTGTTTTGTTATTCTAAAACTACGTTACTATACTAATTTTACTGTGTTTTTTGGATTTTTAATGTTTTCTAAATTTGAGACTTTTACGTATAATCTAAAACATCAAATCAAAAATAAAATTGTAAAAATAAAAAAATTTTCGAAAAAATTTTTAACATCAAGAAAATATCTAACTTAAAACTACACTATTGATGGAAATCCTAAGAATGAAAAGCTAAATTCGTCATTAGTCGTCTAATCTTCGGTCAAATCCAAATGTTGATTTAAAAAGGAAACTCTCTTGATTTTGTAAAATCATTTCTGGACAAATTTGTTTATTCGCTATCGGAATCTTCTCTTTGTCCTTGCACTGTCACTATGCGTTTCTTATTTTTGTTAACTTCATCTTTTTCTTTGATATCCTTTTCCTTTTCCTCTTTCTTCGGCAAGCTTGATTTCTTTTTTATTTCTCCAGTCTTTCGCTAAAATTGTTGTTTAGGGCGTCCAATTCTTCATGTTCTTCTTGTGTCCTGAATAAGATTTCAGACTTGGCGTCAAAGAATTTATCTTTCGATTTTGTTTGCGTTGGCACTTTAAATCTGTTTATTCCTATTTTTCTTTTGTACGTCCCTTCATCTCCGATTAGTTCATCCTGAAGTTTAATTTTTAGACCATCGCCTATCTCATTTTCTTCTTTCATCGTTGAGTTATAAATTGCTTTCAATAGATCATTTTCGTTGTTAAAGTAAATCAAAATGTATTTATTTTGTTGATTTTGATTACTTTGGCAAAATGACCACCAAATTCTGTATTATAATTCTTGACTATTTCGTAATCATTTTTTTCCAAATCGTCTTTATCTAATTTTTTGTATAAAAAAATACGTACGTTCATTTCTTGTTAGTGCTATATTAGAACCGCCTTTAATGAATTTTCTTCCATTTCTTTTGTTAAGCGGATTCTAGCACGAACCGTTCGATACTTATAGTTATGTTTGACTTCCAGTCTTTCTATATATCCTACTTTTTTTAACATTTCATAGATTACGTTGTCTTTCCAATAAGCAGGAAAATCATAAAATTTCATGTCACGTGATTGTTCGGCAAAATATTTATCCAAATAATTATCATCGGAAGTTGTTACCAGAATTTCGGTGATCTTCCCCTTTTTAATTTCTTGTGTTGTTGATTTCTTTTTTTTGGATTTTCTACGCCGATCGTGGCTTTTTGTCTTACTTTTCTGCTTACTAGATGTGGCAACCTCGCTCGTTATCTTCTTTTCTAATTCCGAACATTTTTTTGCATCATTTTCTAAAAATATTATTTGTTCTTCTGCAATCTTTTTTTCCTTTTTTAAATTATCTATCTGCTCATCTGCACTTACGTTATACTTCTTGAATGTCTCTAATTCGTCCCTGAGATTTTCTATCTCCGCATCTTTGGCTTCTAACATCAGCTGACATTCCCTTTCCTTATCTAGTGGTATCTCTTTACCATCTCTCATCAGGCAACCTACCAATTTGATTGGTGTTTTATTTGCTGCGCCTGTCAGGGAGTTCTCTCGGAATATTTTTTCTACTATTTGTTTTACCGTTTCGCCTCCAAGTTTCATAGTAAAGAAACAAGCAAGCTCGTAATATTTGTTGCTATTTTATCATTTTGTACATATATCTTTATTATTTCTATTATCCAGAATCAGCAGAAAGAGTTCTTGATGTAAATTATTTTAAAAGCACGTTTTCATTTAAAAAGATTTAACGGTAAATTGATATTTTTTTTTATCGAAGGTTTATTTTGAATAAAAAAATTATGGATAAATTTGGTTTTTGTAAGAATATTTTACTAAATAATAAGAATGATTGAACGTAATAGGACATAGTGTATAAAAAAAGAAGTAGGAAATAGCTGCTCCATATTTTTTTTATTGGTAAATAATATTTATGACGAAAGGAAAATATATATGAATTATAAATAAATTAAATAAGCGTTGTAAAGCATCTATGGTACAAACGAGCCGATAATTAAAAAGCTCATTCACCGGAAGGGGACTGCTTTTTGTTATTGAAAAATAAATTACTATCATAATAAGTAAAATAGTATGAGCAATAAATTATGTAACATAATGAGGCATTAGATAGTATAAAAATTACAATTATCGATATACGGTACATGTCGTTTGAGCGTAAAAGATCATTGATCTACAAGTTTCCCCATAATCCTGTAAGAAAATCAACTAGTAAGCTGATCCGGATAATCAATAAAATAACGTTATCTTTATTTACGAATAAGGAAAGTGAAGCAAGAAATCAGTTAGACAACTTGATGATAAAATAAAAAACTTAATGACGGGTTCGAAACAGTAGTGTACGCTACTTTTAACCATTTTATTAGTATAAATATGTAACCGTATTATTTTTAATGTGATTTTTACTACCTACCTTCAGAAAACACGTCCATGGAAAGTGTTTAAGTCATAAAAATACAAAATGGGGTTTTCAAACTTTCAAAGAGGTGAAGGAACAAAATAGAGAAGAAAAAAGTGGATGAGAAGAGTTCGTCAAGAAAATGAAAAGAAGCCCTATTCGAACGTCAAGAAAGAAATATATCGTTTGGATCAGTTGATTCAGATAAAATTCACGATCGTTTCGGATGGTCGACGGACTGGAAGAAAAAGAAAGGAACCTACATAAGGAAGTTTTACATCCTGCAATCGAACCTGAGGAAGTGGTGAAAGTAGTAGAGGACTAAAGGAACAAATAAAAATCACGTGACCTCAAGGAAGAACCTGACGAAGTATCAAAAGCGTTTTAAAGGATACTCGATAAAAGAGACGAGAAATCGTTAACAGAGAAAGACGTGGTTGATTATATCAATTTATGTAGACAAACAGTCTTTGCAAAAGGAGAATATACAGAAGAATTTGATCGAAAATGTTGAGGCATGTTGTCAGATCAAAAGGTTAGTAGAGCGAAATAGGTAGAAGTTTAGTTCCAAGCTTTACGCCTTATAATTCCAACATGATTCCGATGAAAGAAGCAGTGGAAGAATTCGATGCTAACAATAAGAGGATGAAAGAACGACTTGAGAAAGAGGACAAGACAAAAAGAGTGAATTCAGAAACAGAGATGACGGTAACTAGACCGCAAAAGGTCAAGAGGAAGTAGGATAGTATTTATCGTTTTTGAAGGGTAAATTTTTAGGATAGTTTTCGAGTATGTGGTTTTTTGCTAAATATCGTAGATAGTAAATTTATTTTTACAAAAAATGTACGTGGTGTACCACGATGTCAAATGTAACTAGCATTATTTATTTTGGAGGGGTTGTATATTATTATTAGGATATAACAGTATAAAGGGGTTAACTGTTACCTTTAACAATAAACTGACTAGGAAGAATAACAAAGGTTTGGTATAACAGGAGTCACTTCTTAGATGTGCACAATGGTGTTATGTAAATTTATTCTTTGTATTAGTTCTGCATCTTTTACAAACAAATTGATAACGTCTTACAATTAAAAAAAAGATGAGATTTTTATACACTTTCAAATATATTTATATTTTTAAAAATTTTAAAAATTTTGGAATATCTGAAAGTTTAAATATAGTAAAAATATTCATTAACTTACAGATTGGGTAAAAAGAAATTTTTGGTTTAATTATCTATTTTTACTTTATCGGTTCATACAATATTATGTCGTTATTGTATTTTTTCGATTAAATCTTTAAGAGTCTAAATGAATTATCAAAAAAAAAGTTCATGTTAATAAAAAAAAATGATGTTGTTGTTAGGATAAACGAAAATTTTTATATATAACAACAATAATTTTTATTTATTAAATAATTTTTTTTTTTTAGTTTATACTAGCCGTAACTCGTCGCGCTGCGCCGGTAGAAATTTTGTTGCTTATATAATACTAAATTTTGTTTGTAATTAGAAATATGAAGAATTGAAAATTCAAAATAAAATAAATAATAAAATTAAATAAAATGAAAATTTAAAAAGGCGAAAAAAAGCCTAAGAAGGGGTTCTGAAAGGTAGTCAGTACCCTCAGAAAAAATTTTTTACATGTTAAAAAAAATTTTTTGCATATTAAGAAAAGACTGAAGTGGTTATGTAGAATGTAGATTTGTACTTTTTAAATTCTTAATTAAAATTTTTCTTTTTTAATCCAAAAAATGCTGAAAATTTGGGATGACGAAAACTTTAATTCTAACAATTCTAATAATTCTAATAATTCTACTAATTCAAAAAAAAAAGAACCAATTATCAAATCTATTGTTACAAAAAAAAAAATTATTCTTATCACCAAAGCCTATTGTTATTACTAAAAAATCGATAGAACTATTACTTAATAGTATTAGAATGACGCCAGTTACCGGGAAGCAAAAAAAAAGTAAATTTTTTTTATAACCGGAACTAACTATTACCAATTAATATTAGTAAACGTCAGTTACCGAACATAAAGAAAGGGCAAAGTCCGATCTATTGTTGGAAAATTTTTTTTAAAAAATAAAAAAATTTCTAATAAAAATCTGATCTGTTGTTAAAAAAAAATAAATAAATAAAAATTACTAAATGAAAACAAATTATCCATTGTAAAAAAAAAAAAAAAAAATAAATGGGAGAAAGGCCTATTGTTATCGGGGAGATACAATATGATCAAAAAAAAAAAAATTATCGTCGGGGACATACAATATGGTCGAAAAAAAAATTATCATCAAAAAAAAAAAATTTACCGAAGCTGTTATCGGGAATAAAAAAAATTTGAAAAAATGCTTACTAAAAAATTTAAAACATTACTAAGAAAAAAATCGGGAAAAAATCTATACTAAAAAAGAGAATATCGATAAAAATTACTAAAACTAAAAAGGAAAAGAATTTCAGAAAATTACTAAAAGAAATTATTATCGATAAAGACAAAAAACATTACTTAAAACTAAAATAGAAAAAAAATCTAATAAGAAAAATACTAAAAGATAGAAAAAAAACTATTTAGAAATAAGAATAAATATTAGTAACCGAAACATTTCGGGTCAACCCGACTGCTGGTCAACCTCCCTATCAATCTAACTAAAAAGAATATAACATTTTATAATATCAACTTTGGACATGATCAGTATTTACTAATTAACTATAATATAGAGAGCTTATATTATTACGGAATAGATCAGGATCAGACAGACCACACATTACATAATTCACAATTATTATTTATACAGGATAGATAATAAATATTAGTAATCAACGAACGATTAAATTTCGGTGACAATAGATGATCGACGTTCATGTATCGATAAAATTCCTTTGGCCATAATAATATAGACGCTACGCTATACTAACACGGAATAAATCATCCGCAGACGTACCACATTGCACAATTCAAAATTATTTATACAGAGGGTAGTCTAAACATGACATTGAGTTTTTTTAGTTATATAGATTTATTGAATCTTGAAACATATTATTGAATTAATTATAAAGATTAAGGTTGTTTTTTACTTCGTTACAATAATACATAATGATAATCACAAATAATAACAAAATAAGCTAGTTAATTTTGTAATTTTGTCTTACGGAGTATTTTTATTTTTCTATAAAAAGAAATTTCTTACCGAAATTCATTTGTGATCATCAGCTGATTTTTTGAACGCCTCATTCGCCTCAATTAAAAAAAAGATTTGTCGATCGCTGCTGTGCGACTGCAATACGTTTTATAATGCTGTTTTTTTTTTAAAAAAAAAAAATAATAATAATTCCTTTTTACTCTTCATTTTTATTATCCAAATATGGAAGAATTTATGCTCAGTAGCGATGTACTTGAACAAATAAAAGATTTTAACTATCGGGATTTAACAGATGAACAAAGTTTATTAATTGATAGGCTAATATTAAATGAAGAATCAAAAGAACGTTATAGAAGGAATGGTTTGTGCAAAGAATGTAAACAGCCTAATACTGGTAATACTGGTGATACTTGGTGTCGGCCATGTAATGCCAACCATTTTCAACAAAATTTCAAAAATTGGGCTAGTGGAAATGAAGTTGTTGATGAGTTTATTAAAAAAACGCAACTTGAAGCCAATAATAATATAGAATTTTTAGAGTGGATTGAATATGCCAGATTTAAAAATATTAAATATTTGGGCAAAGGTGGATTTTCAACTATTTATAAAGCATTTTGGAAAGATGGTTATATAAGATGTTGGGATTCTGAAAATAATAAATGGTACAGAAGTAAGATTTACGTTGCTTTAAAATGTTTAAATGACTCCAAAGATATTACAGCCGAATTTTTAAATGAAGTGAGTTGCTTAGTATATAAATATATTGAATTTATAAATGTTAAACTAACTTGTATGTATTCTTTTTAGATTGGATCACATATAATGACTGGATCACTTTATGTAAATCGCTGTTATGGAATTACTAAAGATCCAAAATCTGGTAATTTTATGATGGTAATGAGATATGCAGACAATGGCAGTTTAAGACAATATTTAAATAATAATTTTAAATTAATGAAATGGAAAGATAAGTTAGATATCTTAGGAAGGATTGCAAGTGGACTTCTTAATATTCATGAAAAGGGATTAATTCATCGTGATTTTCATTGTGGTAATATATTGATTGGTCATAGTCTTATTACTTTTATTACTGATTTAGGATTGTGTCGACCAGCAAATGTAAGTCCTTCTAAAGATCAAGAAATATATGGTGTATTACCTTATGTAGCACCTGAGGTTATAAAAAGAAAAAAATATACTCAAGAAAGTGATATTTATTCATTTGGAATTATTGCATATGAAGTCTGTACAGGGAATTATCCTTATCATGATATGACTCGTGATACAAACTTAGCTATTAGCATTTGCGGTGGGCATAGGCCAGAATCTAATTATAAAATTCCCCAACTAATTTTAAATATTATCAAACAATGTTGGGATACAGATCCTTTAAAACGGCCTAAAGCAAAAGAAATAAATGATTTATTGGAAGATTATTATGGTAGTTATGGTGTTGGTGAATATGAAATCAACAAGCAAATTGAAGAAGCAGATAGAAATAATGAAAATCTACCTCCTCCATTATTAAATCCTGGTACGAATCCTCAAGCAAGTAAACTTTTAGACTTTAAAAATCTTCTAGAACAAAAAAATGCTATTGATAGTGAGGATGATGATAAATCATTTGATTGTTCAGGTAATTCATATTTTTTAAGCTTATTTTCGCAAAAATAATTCTTAAATGCTTATTAATATAAAATTATCTTTATCATATAGACTTCGTAGAACCAATAGATTTTACTAAACTTTAGGTACTCATTTGCATTAATTTTTTTTACATGTTTAATTTTATTAATAATATTAACAATTTACTTTAATAATTTCGTTTTTATAGATGAAAACAATTAAAAGAAAGAAAAGAAAATATACAAATATTCAGAATATAAATTCCTTTATTAGTACTATCTATTGTTTGCTATTTATTTTCTTTATTATTACTTACATTATACATAATTTATTGGAATATTTCCTTTATACTATGATAGAAACTTGAATAAGTGTTGATAAAATTATATGGTATATAATTAGAATAAATTGTATAAATGAATCAGCCCTAGTATTAAAGATTTAGTTACTTATATATGAAAAATAATATCTCTTGTAATATTGAATTTAAAATGTGACAATGTCAATTTATTTGTTTTTTTTTTTATAAATTCTCATAATAATTTTTCTTTAACAGTTATGTTTTTCTATTTTCGTACCTTTTATTTCAATAACCAGCGATAATCTCCGTATCTTCCATCGGTAATTCTTGAAACGAAACATCGTCAAAATAAAATAAATATACTCACAATGTGGATCAAGATTATATGACTAAAAAAAAAATATTAAAAATCTTTCATTTCATGTAGGAAGAAGTCTCAAAGATATTAGTACATTTTATACATTTTTTAGGAACGCTTGTAATTCTGCAAATAATCCCGACTATAAGTTATCATAATATGGTCAAATTGCGATTTCATTAATGATCAAATGGATAAATAGAGCATCCTTAACGTACGCATTATGTGTGCATTATGTGTACGGTATGATCGTATGCATCCTTCGATCCAGATATTATTGATTTTTTTTTTATTATTTTGTGTTGGAAAATCTTTGCGTTTTTTAAAAAAAAGTAGTATTTGTTTAACATGATTAACAAAATCTTGTAATTTATTAAAATTATAATAAATAAATAGAACAATATATTGACTTAAATTTATGAATATTACCAATGTACAATAACTCTATGAATATGCTTTCCAAACAATTTATTTAGTGAAAAAAGAGTTAACTTAGTTTAGACCAAAAGTTACATGAAAGTTCCTTTCAAAAAAAAAAAAATAAATAAATATAAAAAAAAAAGTGAATTATTTTATTAAACAACTAGGTGTAACCCGTTGCGCTGCGCTGGGGAATGGAGGATACAATAATAACAAAGAGAGTAATATAGCAATATATTTGCAGTATACCCATGTAACCATTTCCAGATTTTCTACTGATATCATTACAATTATATTAATATTAGACAAAAAATGCAGATAATTCATGTAATCATATCTTTATTGTTATCATGTAATGTAAATTTTACATATGAAAAGTTATTACTATATTATATATAAAATGTTACAATTAAACACAAATTCTATTTATAGAGTAAAATATTTCATGATATACAATGTTTGTTGTAATAGAATCATCACTATTGGGAGTATTGTCTATAAGAACTTTAATGTATTGATGTGAGGTTACTCTTGAGAATGCAACATATAATTGTCCATGCACAAAAACAGGTTCAGGTAGGTAAATACCAACTCTGCTTAAAGTTTGTCCTTGTGATTTATTAATTGTCATTGCAAATGCAACACGTACAGGAAATTGTCAACGACTTAAAACAAAGGGCAGTTTGGTTTCTGATGATGTAAGTGTAATACATGGAATAAATACACGTTTACCAATATGTGAACCTGTTATAATTTCAGCATCAATAACTTTACTCTGAAATCCACAACAGATCAGTCTAGTTCCATTGCAGAGACCTTCAAATGGGTTTAAATTTCGTAGAAGGATAATTGGTACTCCTATCTTTAATTTCAATTCACCAGGAGGGAGTTCAGGAATTCTTAAAGATCTTAAAAATTCAGGTGAATAAAGTTGAGGTTGTTCTACTGCATCTTCTGGTAAATTTATGTAGTCAGCACTGGGATATGAAACAAATTCTCCAGGAAGTTGATCCATTATTATATCAGAAATGATGTCAACATTAATATTTTTTGGAGTTAAAATTGCTTTACTAACCATATAGTCTGCATTGCCACAATTATTAACTAAATCTGGGTAAACAAAATCAATCAGGTTTCTCAAAGTTCCTTTAATTATTACTATATTGGAAGGAAGAGTAATCATATTCTCTGTACCAGGATTTATTGTATATGTTCCATCACCAATCTTTAAAAGGAATTCTGCAAATTCCTTTTGTTTTAAATTTTCTACTGAGTCAGAAGTTTGCTGAAGTCTCATATTGGTTGATAGTTTCATAACTTTAATATGGCTCCATAAGGATGACTGAGTCAAACTTGCTAAAACAATATCTGCACGGCGGGAATGAGGTATAACAGGTAGAATCTGCCGAAAATCTCCTCCAAAAACAAATACCTTTCCTCCAAATGGTCTGTCTATCTGTGTAATATCACGAAATGTTCAGTCAACTGCTTCAAATACAAACTTGTGCATCATAGGAGCTTCATCCCAAATGAAAAGTTTTGCTGCATTAATTAAACATGCTAATTGGCTATTACGTGAAATATTACATGTTGAAAATTCATCTATTTTTAAAGGAATTTTAAACCTAGAATGTGCTGTTCTACCACCACTTAATAATAAAGCAGCAATTCCAGAAGATGCTACTGCTATTGCAATATCACCATGTAATCTGATAGTAGCCAGTAAGGTATTATAGAGAAATGTTTTTCCAGTACCAGCAAAACCATCTATGAAGAAGTGACCATATTTATCATTAACTGCTTGCATAACTTCTTCATATATTTGAAACTGCTCTCTATTTAATAAAGGAATATTTTGGTTTACTTGTCTGGCTAGTTCAGTAGTATTGTATGATCTCTCTTCATTTAGCAATCGATCCAAATCATTATCAGTAGAATTGTGATATGTATTTTGTGTTGAGGGAATTGGCATATCAGGAAAATTTTTCAAAGATGTTTCATTTGATTGAAGGTAATGTTCTATTTGTATAAGTGCTTCATTTTCTATTATATCATTTAAAGTAATAGTTTAAAATGGAGAAAGTTGTTGTGCATGGTATAAAAGATCTTCACATAATGCCAATTTATGTGTATTCCATAACAATTCAGGTGCTGTAGGTTGGCATATAAGAAGAATCATTGAAAACAGATGTCGTAACTGTTTTTCTGTTTTCATAGTACTTGCTTCATGTAAACATATATTCCATTCACAATCATCTTGAAGAAGACCAAGCTGAATGCAAGTTTCTTTAAAAGTTCTGCATATTTGTCCATTAACAGTTTTTAAACTATTAAAAGATGTAGCTCCTGATACATGTGTAAGTAATATTCGTAAATAGTATCGTTCACCTTCTGTTGGTTGAACCATATATAGGCGTCCTATTGTTCCTGTATTATTTATTCTGCAACTCCACTTACATTCATCTTTATTCCAAGTATAATGGGTTGGAAAGTCAATATACTTTAAATTTTGTGCATTAGAATTATTTGTATTTTCTTCAAACCAAGCAGTTAAAGTTGTTTTGTGTATAGTTTCTCAATTAATTATATTATTTAAATTGGCATTTCCAGAAAATGCGATCATCTGGTGATTTGGAAGATGAACTGCTAATCTCTGTACTTTAGGTTTACCTCCATGCATTTTATAATGAAAAATTCTCCATATACTTTCAGATGATGAAACATATCGTGCATCTAAATACATTTTAATTTCATTAAATGTTTTATTTGAATTTGCTATTTCATTATTATCTGTTCTATTAACATTTTGAGAAAATGTTACAGTTGCACGATCATGGCCTTTATATATATATTTATATAAATATTTGATAGCCAATAATGAATTGCAAATCTCAACATTTATGTGTGCATGATACTTTTCTACTAATTTGATATTATAAGGCACAACCCATCTGTTGTCTAATTGAATTCCAATATAACAACCATTATTTTTTCTACGATAAAGTGGATAGCCATTAGGACCTTCTTGTGTTGTTTCTTGAAAATCTTTGGGATAATGTTTTTTACATTTGCCATCTTTCATACATGGGGATGATGTATTTAGTATACCACATGGACCATGCATCATCATAGTTGTTACAGTTTCATATGCTGAAGGATTAAGTTCATAATCAGGAATCTCCGCAGAAACAAATAAATCATATTCTTCTATTGATCGTATTTTACTTTCAGTAGATAATATAAGTAAAATATGTGCATGTGGTAATCCCCTTTTTTGGAATTCTATTACATAAATATAAGCAGCAACTTCTCCAAGCCAATGTCTTTCACAAAGATCTTTCATCATTTCTCGTAATTTCATATTAAAAACTCTAGCAGTTAAGTCTGGTCTATCTGCAGCTGTTTGGTTTGGTAATAATTCTCTTGTAATTTCTGGCCATTTTGGATTACATGTAAATGTAATAAAAAGATCAGGCTTGCCAAAATGATGTACAATTGCTATTGCATCTTGGTATAATTGGTACATTTGTTGTGGTCCTCCAGAAAATGTTGATGGAAGAATAATATGTTGCCCAATATTATTTGCACTGTCTCCTGCATGTATTGCATCTACAGCTCCTTGATAACATTCAATTCTAAGAGTTGACTGGTTTTCTCTCAAATAATTTAAACGGTTTTGTTTAATTTTGGCATACTGATCAACAATATATTGTTGATATAATCTACCAGTATTTTGTATCCAATCACCATTTTTGATCTGTAATCTGTAAGAATAAAATTGCATTTGTGTCACTCTATTTCTTTTTCTAGACCTTAGAAGAGGTATATCTGGATGCCAACCATTATCACCTCTTGGAAATAATAATACATAATGCAAAGGATCATAAGAGGGGTGCAATTCAGATATCTTTTGTAAACCTCCTTCACGTTGTCTAAGTAAAATATTACGATTTGATGGCTCAATATCACATCCATCTCCAATCATGAGGACAGCAACATCAGATGATGTAGGTGCTTCATATCTGTGTAAATTTTTTGTACAATCACCATGAATTACCATTGATACATCAGAAGTTTCAGATGCTTGTATAATATCTCGTGCTTGTCTAAAGACTTGTATATAAGGATTGGCTACATCAAGCATATTTTGCAAGTTTTGTAAAATTGTTACATCTACATTTTGCATAATATTGAGTCGATTATTCATTTCATTTTCAGTATCATAAATGTACAATTGAGCAAATTTAGGTGCTTCTCCTTCATTTGGTAATAATGAACCAATAAAATGATAAACTTGGCCATGAATAGTAAAATTAGATAATCCACTCCTCTGAAATTCCCCATTTACATCAGCCCCAAAAGATGTGCATGCTAACAGGCTATTGTAACTTCTAACATTTCTGCGAAATGCATTAGCTTCAGGTTCAAGTGAAGTATACAAATTCATCAAATATGGGGGTGGTCTGAGCAAAGGTGGTAACCCGACTTTACCACCAGCACAGCATACAGCAAAAGATGGAGAATTTTGGGTACTATGCTTATCTTTTTCATTCATCCAAAATTTGGCACCACAATATGTACAAATCTGATCCATTCTTCCTAGATCATGACGTTCTATGCTAATGTTATTTTGTCTTCTTTGTCTTCTTCTATAATGGGCAGCTTGGCGTTCATTGTTCAATCTTCTTTTTCGTTCTCTAGGTGTTTCACTTTGAAAAGTTCTCTGATTAGAAGTCATATCTATTAATAATATTATATGTTATATTGATGAAAGATTTGACACAAATTTTATTATTATATGAAATAGATCTTGTAATAAAATGGAATTTATAATTTATTTATATATTTATAAGAACAATTTTAAATATCTTATTGTTATAATCTTTTTATTTTAAGAATGATCTATTATTATGAAAGAATGGTTTATTACAAAAACACTATTATACAATTTTTATTGTTGCAAAAAAATCTGGTATAAGAATCTATTATTATTAACAAAAATTAATTATCTATTATTAATAAAACATCAATTGCTGATCTATTATGAAAAATAATATTGTTAGTAAAAAATTATTATTAAAAAAGTTATATGTTATTAACAAAATATTAGTTATCAGGAATTTAAAATTACAAAAAAAAAAATTGATGAAAAAAAATCTATATCGCAAAATAACACATTGTAGGAAATCTATTGTTACTAAAAAAATTAATCATCGTGTTTGTATTAATCTATCATTATTACAAATCTTTTTTTTATATTATTATGAAAAAGGTATAAGAAAAATCAAATAAATATTAGTTGATCGAAAATTATTATATTTTAGTAATCAGTATTTGCTGATCAAGTTATCTTAACCTTTTAAGTATAGATCAGGCGCAGATATTTTATCATGAACTTGTCAATCATTTTACCAATCACATATGAAAAATATTATTTAAAAGGAATCATCTGATATGCGGTACACAATTCAAAAATTATTTATACAGGCTAATCTAAACGTTAGAAGATCGACATGAATTTTTTTATTATATAGATATAGATATAGATATAGATTTCAAAAGTTCAATTATATTTTTATTTTTATACATATTGAACAATTTTTTTTTCTAAAAAACAACATAATTATTAAACTAATTATCAAGACAATATAAATAAAAAAAGTGAAAGAAAAAATATTTTTAAAAAAATCAAAACATTAGATTGATTATTTATTTGCTATAAAGGTAATTGCAAGTATTTTTTCCAGATTTACAAGTTTTTGAGAAGAAATCACGTACTATACCGTAATTTTAATTTTATTAATGAGGTTGTACTTACACATGATGCGTACGTTAAGATTGTCCAGATAAATAAATAATTTACCTAGTTATTCCAATTAAGTATTCCAAAAATATTTACAATAATTTAATAAAAACGGTCTTATTCCGAGTTCATAGAATTTTGTATTTTCCATATTCCACGGTAATGAGTGTAATGAGTGATTATACCGTAACATCATGCAACTATTATTGACGAGGGGCTATCTGTGCGATTATAATACAGTAATATGTAAACATGTAAACGTAAAATTTTTATAATTTTGAAAAAATCTTTTATTAGTATTGCAAAAAGTTACAACGTAATCAATAACAATTTTGACGCAACAGCCAACAGCATCACATCAATTAAAGCATCTACACTGAAATATAAAAATTAATCCTAAATATTTCTTGTTGGAACAATTTATAATAAAATTATGTTAATGTTATTTAATACTAAAAATAGATTTGCTGATCTGTGGATATCCATATCCATGAACGGATAATCCGTAAGCTCTTTCAAAATCCAGATTTGTGATCTGTAAAATCCAGATAAATCATAATGAATATGAATTTATCCTACATATGTATTTCTTTTTATCAACCTAATGATCAATAAATTTTATTTTTCCATTCTTGGATTTACTGCTAAAAAAAAATGAATCTGGATTTATCTGTGATGGATAATTATTTATATATAAAACACACCAGCTGTGATAAATTGTCTCTAAAAAGAAAAAAAAATTCATATATTAATTATTTAAATCACCTAATTCTATAAAAATTAAATAATTTTAAGAAGTAAATGATTTTTTGGAAATAGTACAGTTAATTATTAATATCATCCAATCAAGATCTGCTATAATGAGTCATCTTATAAAGAAAGAACAGGGATGAATTTCGCATAGATATCCGCATCTTATCCATCACCTAAAACGAGCATCCTTATCCTGGGCTACGGTCCAGATGCTTATCCTGGACCAACAAATCTAATTGGATGGGATTGATTCTATATAATTAGTGTTCTGATCCAATATTCTTTATAGTTATAATCCAATTCCGGTTAATGAAGTTTTTAAATCAGAATTTTTTTTTTTTCAAATATTTTTTTCTAAATTTTTTCGGTTCCCCTTTTTTTTAATTTTATTTTTTTTTCTTGAACCCGATCTTTTACAAATGGTTCTTTCTTTTTTTTCAATTTCCTTTGAAACACCTTTTTTTTTATTTTTTTTAAAAATTTTTCATTTTATTTCCTTTTTCTTTTTCTTCGATTATTTTTTGATTTTTTCCAGTTAGCTTTTTTTCCAATCTGAAAAATTTTTCCCTTTCCTTTTTCAGTTTGGCTTTCTTTCTTTCAAACCAAATTTCTTTTCTCAAATACAATCTTTCACCATTTAGGTTTGGATCGGTGGTCTGCGGCGCCACGGCAATTGCCTTTTTTCCCGATTTTTATTTATTTATTTTTTGTGACAATAGATCGTTATAATTAATTTTTCTGGGGAATTTTTTTTTTCATATTAATTAGTGAGATATTTTTTTTTCTATAGGATGTAATTTTTTAATGCTACAATGGAATTTTTTAAGATAAAAAAAAAAAGATTTTTTTTGTAACAATGCATGTAATAATAAACCACTTATACAAAATTGTTTTTGTAAATTTCACAGTACTGCAACATTTGTTTCGTGTGATAAATAAAATTTTTATTTAATAATAATATTTTATATACTGTATAACACTTGCACACAATTCATTGTTATTTGTATAATAATATAAATTGTATATTTCCTACTAATCCCATCATAATAATAGTAAAAAACTAGACATATTCACACGCACTGCATGGTAAATAAAATATAAGCGTGTGTATTATTTGAAATGTATAATTTTAAAAGAGTCTATACTCGTCCTATATTCTTTATTTAAATAATTAATTGAACGTGAAAGACCATAATAATCTTAAAATAACAAAGATAAATATATGAATTCTTGGTTTCAAAGTTATTATCATTCAAAAATATATAATATAATATACTAGTCTGTATGTTTTCAAGAAGACAATGCCATTATAAAATAAAAATTTTGCTAGATCAGATTTTACTTAATTTATTTTTGATAATTATTTTATTACAAATCATTTTCCTTAAAGTTGTTAGATTTATAATGTGAATCATCATGATCAAATTATATCTTTGTGAACTTTATGTTAATAGCAGTTTAGCTGAACTAAGTATATTAATTTAATTTAATAAATATAGCTGATAAATATTACAAACTGATTTATTTTATAAATAAATAATATATCAAAAATAAAATAAAATAAATTTTAAGGTTAAATAAAATACTATCAATGTCCTATAATAAAATGAAATATCTAAATTTTTTCATCTAATTTATAATTTCACATTCCAAACATTCAGATTTATCATACTTTTCAAGATCTTTAGTGAATGGATTAAGTAACCTAGATGTATAAATAGCTTGTGGATGAGTATCTAATTGGATATATTTGAAAAATGAAAGATTGTTTCTTCTATATGTTTCTGCTTCTTTGAATTGTTTCTCAATTTCATAATCTTTGTTAATTGAACCATGACCAAAATATGAATTATATAAGAATCTAATAGAGTCTTCTACTTTAATAGCATCTGGTCTATTGTTAGGATCTGTATCCCAACACTTTTTCATTAAATCAATATAACATTTTGGTGCCTCAGGCTCATTTATTTCGGGTCTAATTCCTTTGCATATATCTAATGCTAAAAGTTCGTCATGGGCACAATTAGCGAAAGGTTGTTTTTCCGTTGCTACAAAATACATAATCATTCCAAAGCTATATATATCTGCCGCTAGAGTATAAGGTTTTCCTCTTAATACTTCGGGTGCTACATAAGGCATAACTCCATAAATAGTTGTTTTATCTATATTACCAACTTCTCTGCACAATCCCATATCTGAAATATATATTTTAATATTTGAAGAAATTCCAAAAATTTCATTAAATAATATATTTCCAACATGAAAATCATGATGAACCATTTGTTTTTGATGAATTTCTTTTAGACCACTAATAATATGATTTAATATTTTTAATTTACTCGACCAATTAAAATATTTGTAATTGTTATATATCCAATAATCAAAGTTTCTACCTTCTGCATATTGAAGAACCATGATAAAATCCTTTGTATTTGGATCTTGTGATATTCCATAAACTTTAAGTATTTTACCAGAATTATTTATTGAATAAGCTTTAACCTAATGAAAAAAAAATTGATTATTACACAATATAAAGTATTGTAGTTTATTTATAGAAAAATTACATACCTCATAGAGAAATTCATTGGTAATATTTTGAGAATTGTATAAATATTTTAAAGCAACTTTTGTATTCGAATTTCTTATATATTGGTTTTTATTTATATCATACTTTAATAAACCATCTTTCCATATTGCTGAATATACTGTAGCAAAACCATTTTTACCTATTCTTTTAATATCATTAAACTGATTATATGGTATCCATTCAAATACTATATCATCATGATTATTAATTTTCAATTGCATTTCTTGAATAAAATTATCAATTTCTTTGTTTATACTAATAAAGAATTTTTTAAAATAATCTATTTGGCATGATTTACACCATTTATTACGTATATCTGCATATATCCTATCACACTTTATACAATGTCCTTCAAAATATTTTTCAAAATATTTGTCATGGAGAACCATAATATAATTACCTGTATCAGGATTTTGAGAGATTCCATATATATTATTAAGAACATTACTTCCCTTAACTATTGAATTCACTTTAACCTATCGAAAAATATAAGACAGATAAATAATTATTATTATATTAAAAGTAAATCAAGTAAATTAAATTTATGTATACATACTTTGTCCAAGAATTCATTAATCATGTTTCGTGTATTATTTAAACATTTTAAAGTAATTGCTCTGTTTGGATTCCTTTCATATTGCATTGTATTTATATTATACTCTAATGGACCATCTTTCCATTTTGCTAAATATATTGTAGTAAAATCACTTTGACCTATTTCTTTAACATTAATAAACTGATTGTAAGGTATCCATCCAAATACTATATCATCATACTTACAAATTTTTAATTGCACTTTTTTAATGAAATTATCAATTTGTTTATTTCCACTTTTGGGCCAATAGTATAAACTACTATTTATTTGGCATGGGCACCATCCATATAATATATTGATATATATTTCACCACACTTTACACAACTACCGTTAAGAATAACTAAATATTCTTTTGAATTTGGATCTTGAGATATTCCATACATCTTATTACTATTCACCATAAAATATCTTTTAACCTATTAAAATCCAAAGAAAAAATATTACTATATATTAAAAAAAATTAAGTAAATTATCTACAAAAAAGAAAAAGAGTAAACTGACCTAGTTCTGGTGAACACAAGTCTATAAATTTTCATACCTTATTTAAGAATTCGTTAGTTGTATTTTGTTCTTTAAATAATAATAGTAGCTTTTTAAAAAGCGTTAATGATTCCTGCTTAAATAATGGACATTTTAATCTAACTAACTCATCTGGATTTCTCTTGTATTTCCTTATATTTTTATCATATACTAATGGGCCATCTTTCCATTTTGCTGAATATACAGTAATATGATCATGCATTCCTATTTCTTTAATGTCATTAAACTGATTGTATGGTATCCATTCAAATATTATATCATTATAATAACTAACTTCTAATTGCTTTTCTTGGATAAAACTATCAATTGTTTCATTTTCACTAATCCAGTTTGTAAAATTCTTTCTTAATTTATTTATTTCACATTGTTTACACCATTTATAATTTTCGTCAGTATATATTTTTTTACTTTTACACAGTATACAATAATAATCTTTATCTTGTAAAACCATAATATAACTCTTTGTGTCTGGATTTTGAGATATTCCAAATATCTCAAAATTAGTTGAAAATACTTTCACCTATAAAATACAAAATAATAAATTAGTATTATATTAAAGTAAATTTCAATTCAATAAAAAATCCTACCTCATTTAAAAATTCAACAACATTTTGTAAATTATGTGAATATTTTAATTTTAATTCAATTTCTGTTGGATTTCTTATATATTTTCTACTATTACTATTCCACTCTAATGGACCATCTTCCCATTTTGCTGAATATACTGTAGAAAAATCATCTTTATCTACTTCTTCGATATCAAGAAATTTATTATATGGTATCCATTCAAATACAATATCCTGTAGGCTATTAATTTCTAATTGCTTTTCTTGGATAAAATTATCAATTTTTTTATTTCCACTAGTCCAGTTTGTAATTAATTTATTTGTTTCACATCCTTTACACCATTTATAACTTACATTGGTATACACATAGTTACATTTTATACAGTAGGAATAATTATTTTGCAAAGCTATAATATAACCCTTTGTATCTGGATTTTGAGATATTCCAAATATATTAAAATTAGTTGAATATATTTTAACCTATAAAATACAAAATAATAAATTATTATTATATTAAAAATGAATTTCAAATTCAATAAAATAATTTTACCTCATTTAGAAATTCAACTACATTTTGTAAATTATGTAAACATTTTAATTTTAATACAACTTTTTTTGAGTTTCTTATATATGTCTTACTATAATTATTCCATTTTAATGGACCATATTCCCATTTTGCCGAATATATTGTAGAAATATCATCTTTATCTACTTCTTTGATGTCAAGAAATTTATTATATGGTATCCATTCACATACAATATCCCGTGAGTTATTAATCTCTAATTGCTTTTCTTGGATAAAATTATCAATTTTATCATTTCCACTAGTCCAGTTTGCAAAATTTTTTCTTAATTTATTTGTTTCACATTGTTTACACCATTCATAAAACACCTTTATGTACTTTTTGCTACAATTTTCACATGCCACGTCACTCATCGTTTTAATAAACATGGAAGTTTTAAATTTCCGAAAATAAAAACTTTTTGCTGTGTGGAATTTATAATACAATTACAATCGGAAAAACTACAGTTCGAACGTTATTTTGAGTAACGGTATCACAAAATACTATCAAACTTAATTTTACGCAAATTTGTCACACTCATGTTGTAGAACTTGTGCCCGTCGAATAGACGTTTGTCACCACTATTAAATACCCAATATACCATTAAATTATAATATTCAATGTGGCACTTTTTCATCATAAGAAAAAGACAAAAAGAATCGACCAATAAAATTATAAGGTAAACATGAAAACAACAAAAATGGTCCCCTCACCCACGAATTTAATGAATATTTAAGCCTTTTTACGTTATGCAAAATTCTAAGCAAAAACTTTCATTGAAGTACCAATTAACAAAATATTGAACCAATCCTTCTATGAAGTATAGGTAGGACATTTATCGCAAGCCACCTTTGACAAAAGGTGACATTATGTTGGATAATGTCTAGACATCATGTCGGATATATGTTAGGATGATGTAATGATGTATGTACATAATTCAACATGATGTCGAAAACATTATCCGCATGATGCATGCAGATCATCATCGCTAAATGTAGTGAATTTTTATTTATGGAAAATTTACCGATTTTCTGGGTGAATTTTTAAATTTTATTCCCATTTCTAGTATTTCTAGTAAATTTACCAATTTTCTGGCTCAATTTATTTTATCACATCATTTTTGTCTCCCAATACTCACATAAATAAAATCGTTTTTTTTTTCAATAAAATAAAATAAAATAAAATAAAACAAATAAAAATAAAAATAGTTCATTTAATTAAAAGAACTTTTTTTTTTATTTATTTTAATGAAAAAACGTCAGGTTCGACGTTTTATAATTAAACAAAACTGTTTTTTGATGAAAAACGTCAGGTTAGACAGGACCCAGAAATATATATATAGGGACAGGTGGCGAAAAATTTTTTTATTATGAGCTGTACGCAAAGACTTTTTATATGAGTAGTACGCATAATAGACACCTGATATTGAAAATCCTGCAAATAAAATTTCAGACATTAAGTTCATATTAATTATTTTATCATGGCTTCTATATTTATTTATAAAATCAAATAATATAAATGGAAAAAGAATGAGAAAAATCAAATTTTTCTGTTTGACAAAAAACCAAACCGAAAGAAGAAAAGGGAGAAAATTTTTTTTCAGTTTGAAAAATTAAGGTAAAATTTCATTAACCGAAGTTGGATTGATCGAATAGTTTTTGACCATAAAATAGATCAGGCGGAGGCATGTCCCGGGTTTAATTATATGGCATGGGTCTGTGAGTGAAACGCGTAATACAGTATCAAATTTCTGGTCAAGAAAGGTACATAAAAAGGGTGAGTCAAGAAAATACCACCTGACTGGTCAAGATCGATACTTTTGCAGCAAATATATAATATACATATATGATTTACCTACGAGACTGATTCTCTTTGTTCCATGAAGTTTTACAGTTATTGAGAATAAAATTTAGGTCTTTTGTAAGTTAAAAATTCTCGAAATTCACGTGGGCAAGATCGGGCTTGCGATCATTCCTTTTAAAATTTTATGAAACCCCAAAATTGGCGCGTAGGGATGGAAAAAGGTCGGGTTGCGACTTGAGTCAGTTCGTTCCGAAAGCCGATTATGAAACTGAACCGGTTTTTCGGGTTAACTCTTCTCAACTCAGTTTTTTCAATAGTATCAGCTCGGAGCCGAACCGAACGTGCGAGTCGTCCCCATCCCTACACTGAGCAAAGATAATTCTTGCAATATTTTTAGGAAAAAACGAGTTAATTAGAACATCATAGTTCTTATAATTTTTTTCACTTTAGATTTTTTATTATTTTATAAATTTAAAAAATATTAAAAATGCTATACATGTTTTCTCTGACACAACTCAAGCATGACAAATTATTATAAGCTTCTATAAAAATGCTGGCAATACAAAAGTACTTAAATATATACCCACTTTTTCACTTAACATCTACACCTAAGCTTCAGTAAAAAAAAAAAAAATACTTCGGTACTTTCAGTATTATTATATTTAAAGACTATTTAATTAAACGTAAAATAAAATAACGAAAATTCATACCCTTTAAAACACAAGATTAACAGCAAATAAAGCGAAGAGTATTTTATATAAAATCAATACGTCACGTTGTCACGGTTAAAAAATTTCAATTTTTCAGATTATGTAAGCCATCGCGTGATGCATATGTATGAGCCATTGATTGAGGCATTGAGCCAACCATGATTTAGAATTTAAATGACACGTGATTTTAATTACTTTGAAATTTTGATTTTATTGCAAATTTTGCTAATTTACCAGTAATTCCTTTTGACAAATATCCATATATATCCAAATTATCTAACAGTAATTAAAGATACTAAATTTAAAACTTTTGGTTGCAAGTATAATCAAAATGTTCTCTCGCACCCCTATAAAAAAATTTCAGAAAAATGATCATTTATCGGAATTTTTTCCAGAATTTTTTTTTTATAGGGCATATTTTTTTATTTGTAATACATTTATAATTTAATTCATAATGGTATTTAGAATAAATATACATTTAAAAATTAATTACTACTGGCAAAATTTACCTGCGATTTTATTTATTAAATCTAATTTTTGAGCATTTTTCGTTAAAAAAAAACAATAAAATACACATTAAATGCGGCTGATTTACACACAAAATTTGGTAGTCCACCATATAGTGAATTTACTAGTTTTTAAAAAGCTTGATTTTAAAAAAATTCTAACCGATATGAAACTTGAAACAGATTACGTACATATGAACAGATTTGACTCATTTGATGATCGGAACTATACGTAAATAATGTAACTAGAAAAGACGCTAATTTATACCATTTGAAAATTTTACCAAGAATAAATTATCATGTTAATATTGAAATACATTTTAATGCTATGAAATAAATGATTCACTATATAGTCTATATACTGTGAACGAAATTAATGTAATTTCTCGGCTGATAATCATCGAACTCCGTTACTGCGGACAATGCTGTCAATCAGTATATAAATCAAATTGCTGAGTTAGGAAGGTACATGACATATTTGTTAGCCACATTTAAACACTCATTATTTGTTATTTGTAACTTTTTAAAAGTTTTTCCCTTCAGTTAATTCGTTTATTTGGTTAGGTTTGTGTTAAGCCGGTTCTTTTTATTTTATTTTTAAACATATTTTTATTATAATAAAGCAGGTTTATTAACTTGGGGGTTTTTTTTAACAGTTAAATTGCGCAATTTTATTGTTTGTAAATATTTTCCAAAATTCAGTTGAATAATTTAAAATGGATCCAAATCAACAAGATAAAGATGTTATGTTGGCTCAATTACTTTCTTTTGGTTTTGACGAATGGGTTTGTCGAAAAGCAATTGCATGTAATAGAACCATAGAAGACGCTACCGAGTGGTAACAATATAATACATAATAATAAAAATTATTGATTTTTTTATATTTTGTTAATTATTATACTTTAACTGAAAATATTGAAGGGTTCTTAATGCTTTGGATCCGAACTCGGGGGTTTCTCGTCCTACTACAACACTCTCCTTAAGACCGTCATCCAATGACGTTGTTCCGATGTCGCTTGATACTGCTACGGTAATATTTTAGCAATTAAGTTTTTTTTTTCAATTACAACTTTTGGTTTACTAATGATTAAATAATTTAACAGTCGAGTTCATTTCCACAACCAGCTTTGGTATCTCGTCATTCACAACCAGCTGATGAATCAGAATATACCAAAGAAAGTAGAGCTAAAGCAGTAAAAGCAGCGGAAGAAGCTAAGAAGCAGAAGATGATGGAACGCGAAGCTCGTAATAAAGCATTGTTGGCAATCAAAGAAGATCGGATAAGGAATAAACAACGAAAATTAGTACATCAAACAAGTGGAAGTGAAGAAAGTAATATTGGTGTAAGCAGTTCAACTGCTTCTCAACCTGAAACTTCCTCAAAACCTTCACAGAATACTGCTCTTATTCAGATACGTTTGTCAACTGGTCAAGCTATTCGTCAAAAATTTTCCTCATCTACGAAAATTTCTAATCTATTTGAATGGGTATCTAATGAGAATGAACCGAGTAAAACATTTCAATTGATGTTACCATTTCCCAGAAAAGTATTTGGAGATGATCAAATGGATATGACCCTCGCAGATGTTGGTTTGGTACCAAATGCTTCTTTGAATGTTGTAAAACTTGATATTTCGCCTCAACAACCACAACAGCCAGCAGTGAAATCACGGACTTCAAATACTTCAAAGATTTCAAATAGGAGATTGGATATTGAATCTGATGATAATGATGAAGAAGAAGAAGATGATGATGATGATGACGACGATGATGACGATGATGACAATGACGACGACGATGATGATGGTGGTAGTAGCCAAAGACATGTGATAGGGAATCCGCAAGTTCCGCCACAGATTCCCGTACAGCCCGTGATCCCGAACAATATTCCATTAAATGTTCCTTCACAAGCTCCGCCACAGATTTCTGCACAGCCCGTGATCCCAAACAATATTCCACCTAATGTTCCTCCGCATTTCCTGCCACAAATTCCTCCGCAAGTGCCACCACAAATTCCCGTGATTCCGAATAACGTTCCGCCAAATTTTCCTCCAAATTTTGGACAACCTCCACGAATTCGGGCACTTCGAGGTCGTTTTCCACCAAATATTCCGAGAGGTATGCAACCTCCACCGTTTTCTGGTGGAGGTCATCGTTTAACTGATGGTCCAATTATTCCTCAAGATTCAGTTGATCCAAATGAAGAGCATGGTTTGTAACATTAAATAATTGAAAAAGGTATTAGAAAGATTCTATACTATATTTGTTAATTGACGATTATTGTATTAGTCGAAACCGAGGAAGAGAAAAGACAGCGTTTGGCTGATGCTATACAAACGAGAGTAAATACCGAAGAAAATATACATGATAACGCTGTAAGACAGGGTATCAAACGTGAATTACAGGTTGAAAGCTTAAAGTCAAAATGTGCATACTGTGTTGCTGGTAAGTTTAATTTTATTTTATTTATTTTCTAAGATATTCGTGACTAACAGTAAATAATTATTACTAGTACTCTTGACTTCCGCTACAAGTGTCAGAATAATTCGTTCTCTTGCTAATGTTTCATCCAACATTGGTGAATTATTAGTGGCAGAGTTGATAAAATTAAACAAATTAGATTCTCTTACTTTTAGACGATTTGCGAATTGGTGAATAATGTTTAATTTTGATTTCTCATTACTATCAAAGTTATTGAAATTTAATAATTCAATTGTTTATTATCACAGTAATTTACAGAATATTATATTGGATAATTATCCGCGAGCAACTGACTCCTTATTGGAAGTTATCGGTAACACTCAACGTGCTTCAGTTACAAGAGTTAGCTTAAGAGGATGCGAAGTATTAACTGATACAGGATTGAATGGATTACAAGGTTCAATTTAATAAAATTATAACGATTTTTATGTATTGTTTTTAATTACTTGATAACTAAACTAAAAATTTGGATTATTTAGGGTTGTTATTTTTAGAGTCGCTAGATGTTTCGTCATGTAGGGTTAAAGATCGTGCTCTTCCAGCTTTACAAGGTATTTAAATTTATTAGCTAATAATAGGGTTTTTTTAATCATAAATTTTGTTTTATATAAATAATTTTTTTGTTCAAAATAAAAATTATAGGATTCGAGAATTTAACCGATTTGAATTTATCGAAGACAAAAGTAACTATAAGTGGTTTGAGAGAATTATTTGCAAATTGCGCTTTCGCAAAAACGTTGGAAGTGTTGGATTTATCGTACTGTAATGGTGTTAATGGAAGGACAGTGTTTTTAGATTTGCAGCGTAAATATTATTTTAAATTCGTAATGTGTTTTTTCCAAGACCGTAGATTAATTAATAATTAATGATTTTATAATACAGCATTGGTGAACATACGTTCACTCAATCTTGACAGTACTCTACTGACACCACCTCAAGTTCCAGTTAATCCTTCAAGTTTCCAAAGTTTAGAGTTTTTGGATATTTCCAGAACGAAACTTTGTGATCAAGATGTAATGAAAATATTATGTGGATTTAAAAATCTTGTTGATTTGAACCTGACCGAAACTACTGGAATTGGTCAATTCGGGTTGAAATGGATGGCAAAAGGTATATTTACTGTTATCTTGATTATTGATTAATGTTCGTTATTTTTGATATCATAATTTTATTGTTTAGAGTACAAGTCTCTTAACTTTATCAACTTTCCGAATCGAGAAGAAGAATTAGATGATGTATTGCAAGACTTTTCTGGTAAGAAGAATGTGCTTTTTTTTATCGGCTCTTTTATCGGCTCATTAATTGTAATTGATTTTTTTATTATTTTCAGAATTGCCTTTGAACAAGCTCGACTTAACAAATTTCATAAATGTTACCGATGTCGGTATTTTGTGCATTGAAGCTGTGAAAAGGTACTAATTAATTTATTATTAAACGAATTTTTTTCTCAGATTTATTTATTAAAAAAAAAAAAATTTTTTTATTATAGCTTAACGTATTTATCCTTATCTGGAACTAAATTAACTGATACTGGAATGACAGCCTTAAAAAGTATGCACTATTAACCTTATATATTATTTATTTACTGAGTTATTAATTAGTTTTTTTTTTCTGATTATCAGGTTTAGAAAACTTGGTTGAATTGTATCTTGATAGAACATGCATCACAGATATCGGTGTGGCTAATTTACGAAGTTAGTTCATCGAAATTTACGACTTAAATTATTTAAATTATTTTTTTTTTAAAAAAAAAACTAAAATTTTATGATTTTTAGATTTACGAGAATTGACGCACTTAAGTTTAAGTAAAACGAAGATTAAAAATGAATCTTTACGAATAATTGGTAATTCTGCATTTTCCCCTAGGAGCTTAAAATATCTTAACGTTGGATACACTCGTGTTACAGATAAAGGTGTAAAAGAACTTAAAGGTAAATTTTATTAGCGTTGTATTATATGTATTTTGACCTGATATATTCGATCTAATATATATATATATATATTTTAATACAGGACTTTCAAAATTAACGTTTTTGAACTTGGATTATACGAAAGTTTCTTTATCCTGTAAACAAATTTTGGCCGGTGAGACGTTATTTTGTTATATTATTTAATTTTGATATTTATAATCTTTTTTAATTAATCATTTTGTTTTTTTAGAAATGCCTCAATTACAACCAAGACTTACAGGGATTACCAAAGAATTCTGTAACGAAGATGATGAGTAGTCAAAGAATCAAAATATACAATAATAATAATAACAGATTATTTATGATAGGCTATTTAAATTATATTTGTATATACTGTACTGTAAATTATTATTATTAAATGAGAATTAAATACTAAGCTCTAATATATTACGGATTTTGTATTATTTTCTTATTATTAAAGAGTTAATAAGTGTTTAAAAATATTCTTAAATTTTCTTATCACGCGATTTCGATATTTTTTACTTATATCCAACATTTACAAGAAATTTGTTTCCAATACAGTTTATATAAATAACCAAATTAATTCCCATAAAATATAACTTTACTTTTGTCAACACTTTTCCATAATATCTGTTTGGAAATTAAATCATCCCTTTATCCTTGTGGTTAGGATTCTTTGTGGGGTTTTCTTTGGAGTTCTTGGTCATATCATTCTTCTTTGATTTGTCCCTGGATTTTCTAGTAAATCTCGGGGAAGCGACCTTCCAAATTCTATAGCTTCAGATGACCACTTTAATTTTATGAGATCATACTAAAGGTGATGAAGGCCAAGAAAACGCACCCGATTTCTACGACAGGCTAGGAAAAAAAACTAGATATTCTTATACGAAAGTATAATACATGAATTATTATTACAACTCATAATTCCATATCAGATACAATTGTTTGACAAACTTCCAATATTCATAACGCTACGCTATCTGAAAGTCAAAAAAAATTAGTATACTAAAAAAAAATTTTTTTTTTTTTTTTTTTGACTAGGTACAGAGAGTTGTCTAAATCAATGTACGAGCAAAATTTTCGTACGAGCACAGTATTCGCACATTTCACTACTTGTACTTAATACAATGATACTTAAAGAGATCGTATATGAATTTCGTAAGATTTTGTCCAATTTTTTATATTTTGTACACTAGTACAATTTCGTACATTTTAATTTATTACCCCATTTTTTGATACCACAAAAAATCTTTATATTCACTAATTATAATAATAATAGTAATACCAATAGTTTACTTTGAAATTTATTATCTTATCCGTTTAAATTGTTTATGATAATATTAGATTTGTTATAAAATATTAAAATTTAATATATCAAATGTATAATGTATAATGAATGTACTTTACTAACAAACATTACGATTGTATGTACTAAATTGTACTGGTACAGTACAGTAACCCTACGCGATAAATTAAAAGGTGAAATTATTTGACGAATGAATCAAACGATCAAACTCGTTTTTAAAAATTCATTAAAAATTCATTAAAAACGGTAGAATTTATACGAATTCCGTTCTAGTTTAAATTGTTTTTTGCAAAAGAAATCCATTTCAAACCTCTCTAAGTAGGTTCTTCGCAAAAACAACTAACATCGCAAAGCGATCCCTATAAAAACGAAATGTGTTAAATTTGTGTTCATGTGTAAAAAACGTCCAAAAAAGCACCATTTTGTCCGATTTATGTCTTATCACAAAAAAACAAAAATTAAACAAAATGGTGCTTTTTTAGACATTTATTACACATGAGCACAAATATTAAACAAATTTACCTCATTTCGCTTTTATAGGGGCGAATCTTCACATCCTACGCCTTTCAAGCCTAACGCTATAATTATCATGACTGATATTGTGTCATTCTTGCAATTCCGCCTTCTATGACACAAGGACTACATGCTCCGCTTCGCTCTGCAACATTGGCATTCATATTTGCTTTATGATTTGCATACCATTTGCCCACTTATTGTATTCACAATTTGCTTACCGCTCCACTTTGTTCCGCATACAGTAAGCTTATTTGCTTTCAAAGAACTCGTGCTAAGTAAGAAAATAAATTAGTATTTGTAATATTCCAAAACTCTAGCTTGTGTAATACCTAAGCCCGTGATAAATCACGTTGCCACCTTAGATATTAAAATAATTTTACAAAATTCGTAACCTGATTTTTCAGGAAGACTAAATTGATCTGTTATTTATAAGAATCCTATCGATTTTTAAATACTATTTAAGAATCACTGCAAATTAACCACCTGATATCTTAATCACCTGACTTAACAATTTACTAGTTTAACGTCATCTCGGACGTTACATTCTTAACGTCACCTGATTTCTTATTATGTAGTTGAACGTCATTTCGGACCAATTAAAATACAATTTTAAACTATTAAAAGTTTATATACTAATTTTAAATATAATACTGCGCCTCATAATTAATAAATTTACTAGGTATATTACTAGGGTGAGACGTCGCCTAATTTGTCAGCAACATTGATTATATTACTATAATCAGATTTTATACTATGCAAAACTATAAAATTTATTAAATAAACTTTTTTATAATAATTTATTATGAAATAAAACTCAAGACTCTAAAAGTTTCTTTGCGAATATTGTGTACATTTTTCAACTTTCTTTTGGTTGAAAACTGTTCTTAAGAACCATCTCAAAGTAATTACGTTTTTTTTTTTACAAAGGTTTTAAAAATGATTTGATATTTGCTTAAATGAAAATTTGAACTAATAAAGCACCAAATCTCTAAAGTTTTATATGATAAAGAAAAATATTTGAACGTAACTTTGTTCTTAAACCATCTCTAGACTTGTCATAAAAATTTGAAGGTAAACCTATGTTTTCATCATGCGGTGAAACATTTTAAAATGTGTCAATTGTAATATGATGCTATTCAGGAAAATATTGAAGATAATGATCGTGAAAAAAAAGCAAACATATTAATTGATAATTTATTTGGTCAAAAATAATTTAATTTTACGTTAAAAGTGATCATTTAAAATTTGCTTAACGAACAAATTCAAAAATTTAAAAAAAATTGATCCGTGTAACATGAAAAATCTGATTATAGTAGAATAACCAATGTTGCTGACATAGCTTTGATTAATTAGGCGACGTCTCACCCTAGTATATTACAGCATTACACTAGATAAGATTACAAATTAGTAATACTGAGAGTGTGGAGTCTCCGGTTAGGCAAGAAAGCAAATTAGTAATTTTAATGAGCTAGAGGTGCCAGGAATAAAAAAAAAAGAATACAAAGTAATATAGCAAGAAGGCACTGTGGGAGGCGTACACCTCAAGTGGGAACCGTCCCTATCCCCCTAACATCGCTTCATCAATTTCAGAAATTTAGGAAAGGAGTCTTCTTCAGCTTTACAAAGTTTAACGTGGACAACCAATTGATTCCGGGACGCCGTAATTTGTGAGGTGTAATTATTGTTTCGTCGACTTTGTGATTATAAATTATAAATTTTCGTGTAGAGATAGATCAGTATGTATTTTTTTGAAAATGAACTGTACAAAATATCCAATCTGATATGTCAAGGTGTACTTGATTTGAGAACTTTTATATATCTGATTAATTTCCTTTCGCATCCTAATGTATGACATCATGGTGAGAGAAAACGAAATGAACGTTTTGGTTACACGACGTGATCTAAGGCCGTTAGTTGTTTACTTTCACAGTTCACACGTGACAGTATGAATATTTTATAACACGTGATTATTTTCGTTTGATCGCCGATCAAAATTTATTAACGTAAAGAAGAATTATGTAAAAAAAAAAAAAAATTATGTATGTATTATATAAAAAATTAAAAACTAATAAATAATTATACATGATAACGAATTCTATATTCTCTCTATCACTCTCCCTATAAACATTTATTTAATAAAGGTAAAGTAGGAAATGTAAATATAGGAAAATTATTTTCATTTGCAAAAAAACCTACATTACCACCAAGAGAAGAATCAAGACGTGGTTTTTTCTTATTTTCACAATTACCAAAAATAAAAGAATTTTGAAGAGTACCAACTAATTCAAAACCAACTTTTTGTCTTAAAACTCTACCATTAAGTACACTTAAACCAAAAGCAAATTGTGGTTTTAATGAAGCAGAAATAGTAGCAGAAGCTTCAACATCAAAATCTGGATTATGTACATTAACTTTAGGAGTAAAACCTGATTGATCAAAACTTGGATCACCTTTAAATGAAGCTCTAGCACTAAAATTTGGTAAACTAAGATCACCACCAAATTCAAGAGTTCCACCTGTTTCTAAAGTAGCATCAGCAGCAGCAACAAGATCAATTGAAGGACCAAGATTTAATATACCAGGTATATTAAAAGGACCTAAACCAATACTAAAAATTTGAAAATCTTTTGCAGAAGTATTTTTACGATTAAGTCTTTTATTTTTTTCTTTTGAAGCATCAAGAGTAAAATCAAGGTTCATAAGAAAATTTCCATCAAGAGAAATTGAAGCTTCTTTTAATTTAGGAGGAACAATATTACCCCTAATTTTTACAGCAATAGTAGCATCACCTTTTGTAAAACAATTAGAGCAAAGTAATCTAACATTACCATCATTTATAATTGGTATATTTGGTCTTGAAGTTCTACCATTATTTGAATCAAATAAGATATTTAAACCTAATTTATTACTCGAATTAATTGTTGGAAATGGAATACCGAATCTTTCTTCTAAATTACGACGAGTTTTATTCTTTGATTGATTAACCCCTTCAACCCAATTAATATTAAGTTCATAATCATTAGAATTATAAGGATAATCACATCTCATAATAGCAAAAGTTGCAGATAAATTAGATTCATCAATAACTCTATCAGTAGCGGTAAAAAATTGGGTAGACCTTTTACCAAAACATTTCCATTTATGTGAAATTAATAACATAACTCTTTCAGGCCATTCTTTAACATCTTTAATCGCTTTTTTATCCTTTAAATTGAAAGTAATTTTTCTTTTACCATTTGAACCTTTTTTACATTTAATACTTTCTACACCACTTTGATCAGGATTAAATGATGGTAAATCCGTTTTTAAATTAAATTCAGCCTGATGATAACCATCTGAAGGATCAGCATCTTGTTGATTATAAACAGCGAGAAGGGATTTTGTTGTTTTAAAATCTTTTTTACCCATAACAACACCAAAATCTTTTGATGCGGTAACAATTCTAAAAAAGAAGATGAATAAAAGCGAATTTATAATGAACCTGAACATTTTTTTAATTTCGAAAAGGGAAATAAATATTCCAATATTAAGTTGGTTGAGGATAAAAAAAAAATTACGGAAAAGTTTGTTATATTACAAATGTAATTTTAAATTACAAAATGTAAATTAAAGGGTATTTGATTCGTGTATAATAATATTGGAATATATTTTAAACAGGGTTTTTTTTTTTTAAAAAAAAAAAAGAATGTTTAAAAGGATTATTTGAGTAATGTTTTGTTTTTATTAGATGAAGAGATTTTTTTTTGTTCGATAACGACGAGGATTTATATAGAAAATTTTTTTAATTAATTGAATATTTTTTAAAGTTACATGAATGCATTTTTTCATTGGATTATCAGGAAACTTAGTTTAATAAATTTAAGGTTTGCATATTTCATATATTGGAAGAAAGTATTATAAAAATTTTATCCGTAAAAACTCCGTAAAAAATGAGCATTTGACGGATCTATTGACGGAAAATGTAAATTATTCGATAAATTTCATTCATGATATAAAGTTATTAATTCCGGAAATATGAGCCTTTTACGGAAATAAGATGAAATATAAAAAACGGATCGACCTTTTTTTACATGGATTGTTCCATGGTTCCACGGTATAATTTGACAATCAAGAAATCATGATTAAAGTAAAGTGTCATTAACGTGACAACAATTACAAACTTTAATTATTTAAAAATTCAAAATAATGAAATTCACTTCTTTAATAAGAATGAGGTTATACCGCGTGGTTTAAAATATGTGATTTACGTTGATTTACTAAATCTTTATTTATGATTTACTAATTTTAAGCGATCAGAAAATTTCAATTACCCAATAAAGGAAACAGACCGAAAAAAAACAAAGAATTGTAAAAAAAAAGAAAAGTGACAGCAAATTAATAAGCAGTCAATTAAATTGAAAATTTTTTTTAAAAAAATGACAGCAATTAAATAAGTAGTCAATATTGGAAAATTGAAAAGTCCTAATAACGAACATTTTTCTTCATTTTAAGAACGAATAACCTCAGGTTTTAACGGGTTTATATCCTGGTACGATTACAATTTCAAGATTAAGAATAATTTAAAATCATAAGAAATTTCTTAATATTCTTTTTTTTTTTAGTGAATTCTTAGCTTTATCGAATTCTTAGCTTTTATCGGATAAACATTTTTACGAGCGACGAAACGAAATTTCTATGCATAATTTGATATCCGGATGAATGGACTAATTTTATTCAGACCTTTTATTATTACAAGTTGAAATTCAATTTCTATTTTTGATTTTTTTTTTTTCATTATGATAAAATTTAACAATGTGTATCATTGGAATTAAACAATTGGTTATGCAAATGCACGTTATTTTAAAATATCATCACAAGGCAAATTGTTAAATTTGTTTTTAAAAAAAAAGGATAATAGTTTAAATAGATCTGTTAAACTTTTTATATTGAACTTTTTATATTAAAATTTTTTATATTAAAAATATTGAAACTTTTTATATTGAACTTTTTATATTAAAATTTTTTATATTGAAACTTTTTATATTGAAACTTTTTATATTGAAGCTTTTTTCATTGAAACTTTTTTTTAAAAAAAAATAATTAATCATTATACAAATTTTCTCATATGTCCAAACTCGAGAATAAAAATAATATTAGTCATTAAGTTATAAATTATAAAATTAAAAGTATTATTAATAAAATTTATTATTATTTTTTTAAAAAAAAAAATATATATTTTTTAGTAGATCAATTTAGTTTAATTAGTCACGAATTTTAAATGTTAATAAATTAATCATAAAGAAATAGACTTTGTTTAATTGAAAAATTCGATCGATCATCATTTTACAATGATGTTTGTAAATTTTTAAATTTTTAAAGTTCTGCAATTAATTTTTTTTTTTTCTTCTACTTTATTTTCTTTATTTTCTATATATTCTATATATATGGATATGATCCACAAATTTACCTTTTTCTTGATCGATTTATTTGTTAAGAGTTTCATGTTAATAATTGTTGTGTAAATAACCGATCATCCAATTCCCTGGTTAATCATAAACAATCCAAATTTGGATTTTAAAGGTAAATTATGCGTGGACTAATAATTTAACTAATTTAACTACATGGAAAATTATGAAAATTATGGATAAAAAAAACATGGCGTATTAAAAACGTTACTAGTATTTATAGTGACTGCGTAAATTATTTATAGATAACCTCTTTTTAATTGTCTTAATCGTTTTAATCGTTTTACTCATAGATTATTAACAATTTAACAATTGAAATTCCAAAAATAAAATAAATTTTTTAATAATAACGAATTTAGCAAATAATATATAATATTTCCTCACATAATTTACAGTTCATCGTACGATATTTTTTTTTACGTCAACATTACGTCAATATTTTTTTTTTTAGTCACGAATTTTAACATGAATTTATTTAAATCTTAATTCTTTCAAAATGCAACTTTATATTATAATACATTTTTTACTTTTCCTTAATGGCAATAGTTGAAAACCGCCAAACCTTCTTTAAAAAATATCGTACGAATAAAATTTTTAAACGAAATTAACATTTTTTTTTTATTACCTTAAATATTATTCTTTTATAAAAAGTAAATTTAACACGAATTTCCTTATATAATTTCCTCATATGTTTAATAAACGTGATGTTGATAATTTGATGGAATTTTCTTATGTATGAACGGATCGGAAATTATTTTTTATGAAATTATTTATATTGAAAAAAAGTAAAATTTATTTAATTGATTTTTGGAACATTACAATTCCGAATCTATCAGCGGGTGAGTAGAATAATACGTTAATACGATAATACGTAGGAGATAGTAGGAGATATTGGATTAGCGGTAACACTGGCACATTAATAAGAAAATCTGCTGATTTTTTTCCTTTAATCTTATAATGAAACACGGGGCTTTTGATTAGCTTGAAAAATTTATCTGGTGTACCCCATACCCATGATGTGATATTCAGGGGTCTGTCTCTAAGTTATGTGTGACAAGGTATCAGTGTTGTTATGCCGATCATAAGTTCATAGTTCTTTTGCTGGGCAATCACTTCACTGGAAATCACTTTACTGGCAATCGTTTCACTGCAATTACTTCGCCGATGAACGTTTTACCGACAATTTTAATAGAAAGTAATTTCATAGTGAATTAGGAATATCAGGGTTCTTTTTCACGAGCGAAGGGAAAATTCCGCTCGTATTAAGTTATACCCTGAAGCGCGTGACTTGTGATCACTATTACAGTATTACTATCTTCTCGACTCAAGATTTACGATAAAATAGATTATGTAATAACAGATAATATAATTTTATATATTACAATAATTTTTAAAATCCGAAAATTAAAAGTTTATAATGCAAATTACACTTAAAGCGATAGGGTATACAATTTAACGAACTCGCGTTATACAGTATATTAGTGTAGTACCGATTTTAACATATAAAAAATCCCATCATACTAAATGTTGTATACCGTATAACGAAGTAAAATCTATAAGCCGTATAACATCTGTATATACTGTATTAAATGAACGAATTTTTTCTTATGATAGATATAACGAAGATATTTTATGTGACATACGTTGTGTATAAATATACAATATACCAATTTTTTCCAGTCGATTCCATTATGTTGACGAATTTTCTTATAACGAAAGGCCGATTTTCCTGGGCAAAAAAATTCGTTACGAGGCGACCCGACCGTAAATGTTTTATTATATATAAAAAGAACACTATCATATTTAGATGAAATAAGTACTGAATAAATAATGTTTATTATATCTACTTAACATTGATTTTATGTTTAGAAAGACAACTCGTAAATAGTCTATTAATTTATTGTACTATAGCACAGGACTTTTTTTTTATCTCGTATTATGTTATGGATATCAGATATGTTTTATATGTAAATTCCGGATTTTTTGCTCCTGTTTTTATATTTATTTTATGTACCGTATTTTGATACAAAGTTAATAGAATTGCAAAGTTTTTTTTTAAAAAAAATGTGGTCTGTATACGGTAATAAAAAAAAAATTTGAAGATATATATATACAAAATACGATAAATATAATTAAGTATTTATTTTTTAAAAAATTTAATATATTATAAAAAAAAATATTTAAAAAAATATTGTAAATATCGGTGAGAGACCTGGACTCTCTAGGTGAAACGTTTCGTCGGAGAAACGTAATTGTCATCGTCATCGTCAGCGAAGTAAATGTCGATGAATTAAATGCGTCTAAAGAATATAACTTTAGGTATTGATGGCTGAAATCTAAATGGTGAGTTTGCCTTCGGGTAACACTCGTTAAAGGATTTTTCGCTCATTTCCCAAAATTCAAACATTGGATAATAAATCAAAAGATTGGACAATAAAAAAAAATGTTATCAAAACATTTGAAAATTTTTATTATGACAAAAAAAAAATTAAATATTTCAAATAAATAAATAATATTTTTCATAATATATATTATACCTTTATATTTTTTTTTTCATACTAACAATATATATATATATACCTTTTCTACACTAATTATATATACCTTTAATATATATTTTTTTTTTCTACATTAATTATGTATATCTTTAATATTTTTTACTAATTATGTAATACCTTTTATCACGCTAATTATATATACCTTTTTTTTTTATAAACATTTATTTAATAAATTTAAAGAAGGAAAATCTACTACAGGGAAATTATCATCATTAATGAAAAATCCCAAATTACCATTAAGGTCAATTTTAAGACGTGGTTGAGTCTTTTTTAGACAAGAATTTTTACCTTTACCACCAAAAGAAATATTATTATTTAAAGTTCCAACTACTTGAAAACCAAGTTTTTGTTCAAAAACTCCATTTAATATATTAAGACCAAGAGCTAATTGTGGTTTGATTGAACCAGCAACATCAGCTGAAGCAGAATCAATTCCAAATTTTGGTTTATGTAATTTAGTTTTAGGTTTGAAACCGGATTGTGTAAATTTTGGATTTTTTACATCAATAAATGTAAAATTTGCATTAAAATTCGGTAAACTTATATCACCCCCAAAACCTAATGAACCAGTTACATTAGTAGTTATATTGGTTGAAGCTACAAGATCTACTGAAGGACCAAGAGAAAATAACTTGGGTACATTAAAATTTCCAGGTAAAGGAATAGAAAGGAGTATTTTATCAAAGCCAATACCAGCTCCAGCAGTACCATTAAGAGAGAGGTCAATGTTCATTAAAGCGCTTCCATTAAGAGAAATTGAAGCTTCAGTTAAATCTAATGAAAAACCAAAACTACCAGCAAGTTTCATCGAAATTGTAGCATCACCTTTTAAAAAACAATTTTCACAAAGTAATGAGAGATTTTCATCTTGTAAAAGAGGAAAATTTGGTGAAGAAGATTTTCCTGTTGTTTCATTAAATAAGACGTTTAAACTTAATTTGTTGGATATATCAATTTTTGGAATTGGAATTAAGGCTTTTGTATTTAATTTACGACGATTATTACGATTATTACTTAAACCATTTACCCATGAAAGATCAATTATGAAATCTTTTGACCAATCAGAAACTTTACAACTTTCCGTAATAAAAGTGACTTTTTTATTGGAGGTATCAATAGATTTACTTTTAATCATAAATGTTTGAGTCGATTTTTCACCAAAACATTCCCATTTATGAGAGATTAATAACATAACTTTATCAGGCCAATCTTTAACTTTTTCGATCGCTTTCTTATCATTTAAACCAAGAGTAATTTTATTACCATCACTACAATCAATACTAGTTACACCATTTTGGTCAGGGTTTACTGATGGTACTTTGGTTTTAAAATAAACCTCCGCTTTATGATATCCTTTAGATGGATCATCTCCATTTTGTTGACTATAAAAACTACGAAGTTCGGTTGTAGGTTTAAATTCATAACTTTTTCCTACGACATTAAAATCGGAATATACGTCTCCAATAAATAAAAATAGGAACAATGAAATTAAAATGTATTTATTCATGATGTAAGGAGGTATGTATGAAAGAAATGTATATATGCAAGGTTTGTATTTTTTTTTTTGGGATAATATTTTTTTTTGGATGGATTTTTAATATTTGGTTGCCCAGCAAATAAAATAAAAAAAAAGACGTTTCAAACGTCCAAAAATATAATACAAGAGGACTTTTTCGTAATTTTGAAAAAAAAATTTTTTATTCATAAAGGTCCTATTTATATAAATTTTAAATAATATGAAATATTATTAACTCTTTTTTGTCATTTTGTTGTAAATAATTTTATTACAGGGTTTGAGCATAAAGTTTATTTACAAACAAATTGACCCTAAAAAAAAAAATTTTACGAAACTTTTGTAACTTAACTCCGTACTAATTTCTTTATTTTTACAGTGTGTTTATGTTTACAAAAATTTAAATGTGCAAATGTTTATCCTGAATAATTATAAGCAAGATCGCTGCAAAAATGTTATTATGTTTAAGGTGTGACAAATCAGGGACGTAACAGTTTTCAAAGGTTTTATGTATTATAGAAGTTAATTTGATCAAACTTTGTGTCACGTTGCATTATCGGTAATGTTCGATTGTTTTGTGCGACCGTCTACTTTTTTTTTTTCCTTTGTTTTTTTAATTGTTATACTGCAAATAGAAATAATTAATATGTTTTATTAACAGGATTATTTATATTCGTTCGAAAGTTCTAATTCTTTTAACATAAATGGATTCAATAAGAATGGATAAATACAAGGAGATTTTTTTAAATGATAATATTATGAGCAATAAAAGTAAAAACATAATTGCATAACTTTATTTATATAATTCTTTTTATAACAAGGAAATCAATATCTTACATACATATGAGACATATGACATTATTTAAAAAAAAAGTATATATATACATATAATTAAGAACCAATTGTTTTTTAGTTTATGGTTTAAATGGTTAGAAAAATAAAAATTAGAAAATAAAAATAAAAATAAAAATAATTTTTTTTTTTTGTGTTTATTAAATATTTAATATTTATTTATATATCTTTCTTTGTTTAAATAAAAAAGATACCAAAAACTATCAAAATCTGCAAATACTATATGTTGTATACCATAAAATGTAGACAATGCAGTATTTAATTTTGTGACGCATGTAATGTTTTTTAAATAATAAAATAATTTTCTCATTATTATTCCAAAAAGTTGTTTTTCAAACTTATAAAAAATATTAAATATATAAATAAATATTATATTTGTTTTATCATTTTAACCTAAAATTGAGTTGAATATATAATTTCATAATTAGTTGCATTAGAAAGCATATGATATTTTTTTTTATTATTGATATGTCGATATGTCGATTATTTTTAAAAATGGTTTAAATTTTCTTAGATGACTAATCTTAAAAATTTTGTTCGGTTTTACAAATTTCTAAATTTACTGGTTCTAAAAAAAGGTCCATAATTATAAAATAGGCAAACATTTCCGAAGGAAATTTCCATTCCATTTTTTAAAAAAGGGTACAGGCCTCCCGTACAGTAAAAGGTACAAATAACAGGGGAGAATATGAAACAACGATGATGATCCATGTTTTCATTTATAGAAGCTGTTACCATTCTTGGAAACAATCAGGTCAAAAGTCACAAGATCAAAGTTATACAAAATAATCGTGATTTGTAATAATTTTTGTGTTTGTTTTTTTTCGATATCTGTCGTTATACGTAAAATAAAATACAGTAAATAAGGAATGGAAAAAAGAATGTCGTTAAAAAAAAAAAATTATTGAAAAATTTTTTTTCTTTATAATAGAAATAACAAAGTTTTTTATCGTTACTTGTCGTTATTTTATTATTATTTGTATGTATATCGCTTTTTAACAATAAACAATAGAAATTTTAAATTCCGTTTGCGTCAAAATTACTATTTTAGTTATTTTCACAATACGTGAATTAGATTATTAGGTGATTGTAAATAGCCGGGTTTAAAATTTTGTACGTTTAAGTCTTTATATCATAAAAAAAAAATATTTGTCATTTTATTTTTTTTTTTGGATAATTTTTTGTCATTAATAAATGTTTGAGCTTTGTATTATCGCCATTTTCAAAATGATGTATTCAGTTAAATTGAATAAAAAAAAAAAGAAAATCGAAAACCGGACGAAAACCGGACGAAATATGGACAAAAACCGGACAAAAACCGGGCGAATATTGGTATTCGAATATACAATCACAAATAAATTGCGTATACTATTTTGAAAATGGCGATAATATTAATATTCTTCCTTATATTTATAATATCTTATTTAATAAATTATACCTTGATAATTTTTGGGATTGTTAACTTCGTCCTACGCTTCTATCAATCGATACCTTTTGAAAGTTTCATATAAAGTATCAGGTTGTATCATCTACGAATTTTAGTATATACTGTATAACAAATGTCAAAAAGTTGAAAAGTTTATTGTATATAAATCTGATTTTTGGTACTTATCTCATTTTCTTTCTCTACGTTAGAGATTTTGTTCAGAATCAAGTAAGTAAAAGATTAAAGTAAAAGAAATTTTTAGTTAATTAGCCAAATTGGTAAATTGGCTAATAGCTAATAGTATCACAGTATAATTAATCAAAATATGCATAATTATATATGACATAATATATTTTGAAAGAAAAGCTTTCTCAAAACCTTGATAACTTTTGACCGTCAACCTTTCTCAATATCACAATAATCATTTACGATACATTATTTGCATATAGTAAGACGTGTTCAAATCTACGGATGTACAGTCGCGTCGGAAAGTAATGCCCGATTTGAAAATGAAGACAAATACAAATATATTTGTATTTTTTCACCAGTATAAACATTAGTAAAAAATTTATATCTAGTTTGCTTCTCATACTACATTAAATTTTCACAATCCCAGGGTGGCAGCCTTCCCAAAAACAGAACTATTTAAATTTTCATTTTTTCTTCAGTCCAGCTTTAAGTTCGCCTACAGCTCTTTGGAGGAGGTCACACTTCTGGATAATATATTGGTTCGTTTCTAATTGTTCTCTACTTTGTTTAAACCAAATTAAATTGTTGGCAAATCAGTAGTTGCAATTTTATTTAATTTTAGCTGATTTTTGCTTAAATATGAAATTTATAATTATCTTGCCACTTGTGATTATCTTGGCATCCAGTGATCCGAATTTAGCGAATAAGGGCTCATTGGATTCGTCTCATCAAGACAAATTGAATAGTGGTCGGTTCATATCTCTAGGATCGATATATGCCAAGATATATATTAAAATATATTATAGACATTTTGGCCATTATCTCGTGATATATCGATGTTATACACATGAGCTGGCCACCATTCGATGCGTCTCGACGAGACTAATCTAATGAGCCTTTGATTATCAAAATCGGATCACTGAATAGTGAGCTATTCCCGGTTTTATGAAACCCAGAGTTTCAAAAAATTTTCAGGTAAAGTATGTTTGGAGGTATATCTCGGCATCTATTGGACCTAGAGACATGATTCAACTAACATTGGACTCGTCTTGGTGAGGTGAATCCAATAAGCCTTAATTTGTCAAACTCTGATCACTGGATGCTGGGATAACCATAGTGGTAAATAATTATAACCTCCACCTGTAAGTAATCGGGCAACACTTTCCGACGCGACTGTACGTAACTACATACAATTCTTTATGGCTTCAACTTTCTCAAGTTCGGTGCCAAATTTTCTTTAAGAAGATTTTAAAAATTTTAAAATTCTATTATATTTTTTATATTTTTCTTTTCAAATTATCGGAAAACTATGTTCTAAGACTAATATTCCTCAACGACGTAGACGTATGAAAATATATCTTATAACAAAACACCACGCCACACGAAGTAACCTACCTAATATACGTTCATATTTTTTTCGTTTAATTGCAAACCTAGTCGCATCAAAGCCAAATAAAGTGGTTTAAGTGCCGGTCCTTATATGATCGACATAAAATTATTATGCAGATCCGGGGGAATTTACTATGAAAAACTATGATATACAAATAATTGCCAACAATACCGATAAGGAAAACCCCAAATGTTGTGTAAACAGACACAAAAAAAATCACATTACTCTGTTCTTCATAGCCCGTTCAAACAATATATATATAAAAAAAAATACTCTCTTTATTATACAAAACGCACTTATAGTACGGTCGACGTTGGATTTTGGTATAAAGAAGTATATTACTAGTAAAATTGCAATTTCTAAAATTTATTACAACCAAACTAAAAACCCATTATTCATGTATTTTTTGAAGATTCTGCTTCTTCCAAAGCACGAAGTGAAGCAGAAGCTTTAAAAGTTCTAGTATAATTTGCAATCCAGTTTTGAATGGTTTGAACTTTTGGAATATCATTTTCTTCTATTTCTT